ATAGAGAATTGAATGGGGGGGGGGGTCATGACCCCCATGACCCCCATGACCTCCCCCTAGATCCGCCCTTGCCTTGTATTAATTGTATCATGTTAGAAACCAGTTGAAAGTTGTACGGAAAACTTCCAGAAAAAGCGAAAAATTTGTGAATCGGAAAGTTGCAATGATTTAGAATTGACGGAATCTTACTTTTCATTATTGACTTAGGAAGAGAAATATGACTTTTCACTTGGCAAATGAAGGAAATAATGGCCACTTCTGAGGTTAGTAGGAAAAAATAGTTAAACTTACCCTGTGAAATCAGCCGCTGTAAACCCCGTCGGATGTGGATGCTAGAAGATAAAGCGCTTATAGGTACATGAACATCTGTTTTTATACATTCTAAGTGTGTTGTTTATTGATGATCATTTATATTTTTTGATGGAGGGTTTTGCAAACCCTAATCCGTCTAGGACATGTGTGTAATGAATGGATTCGATGCGTACGTCAGCAGAAAATTAGCTTGAAGCCAGGCAAATATGAGCTCACCTTAACGTTAATAGTAATTTACTTCGCAACTACGGAGCCGACTCCTTGTAAACAAATGAACGCTCCGAACAAACGCTTCCATATTTATACTTGACAAATTTGCGACAATCTCAAAAGCATTTGAACTGGGATACGATATGAACCCCACGTATCTGACGAATGGACTCTTGTAAGTCTGCACCGCGCGACCTTTGTCACGCCTATTGCAAATGTTTTCTATCACACTAGATGACTCAACAGGATCAATCTGTACATTCGATTGACTGGTGGCTTCCAGGGGCTGAATTCCATTTTATTACCAAGTATCAAACTACCGTTCGGCCATGGGTGGCTCGTACACCCAGCGTTTCCCACCAAGAAACAAGTGTAAAAGGAGGCCCCACTCGGTGTTTTACATTGACTGGCCATTCGTTGCAAAACTTACGGCTTTCATATCTGAGATAAATCAGCAGATTCAGGAGGCCTGAACTCAATCATTGGCGTGGCTCAATACGAACTCAGGAACTTCCTTTGCCAGCAAGTGTGGTTTCCATTTTTTTTTAATAAGCATGCGTTTCCTGTTTTGGCTAGTAATGAATTTTTAACGGTTTAGTGAAATCTAAATGTTATCTTTGCGCGTCGTTTATTATCAACGCACAAGTGAGTAGATGCTATTTTGGAGATTGCTATGATGTTGATTACGCTGTTTCGGAGACAAATTTAAAAAATGCTCATATTTTGTCTACCTGATGATAAACGAAAAATTGTCACAATAGTTCTTTAAACGATTACGGCTGATAAGTGATGATCCATAATTCGTTAATAAATCAAAAACAATATGCGAATGTTAGATATGAGAATGTTTCTAAGTTGTCAGATAAATGGAATTTCATTCCAAAAAACTTGGTTCAGATTAACCAATCAAAACACGTAATTTTTCTGCTACCGCACTTTTACTTTTTCAACAAAATGGTCTAGAAGAAATAATTCTTGTGGTGTCAAAGCTGCTTTTCATTAAGTCTTTCTCACAGTTTAATAATCCGTGCCGGAGATCTCATAGTTTCACTGCGTTCGGCAACTGATCACGAGCACGCCATGAAAACGAGCACTTTTCTTGCGTAGAAAATACCATACCACTTGACATGCCAAGGCAAAGTGAAAAAAATAAACCATGCAAAAATATCTCAGTTCGCACACCAATATCTGAGCTAGATTTTGCAGTTCGTGCAGCTTCGATGCAGTTGCAGTTCGAGTTTACATATGTAGATTGTGTTGTTCGCTGTTGCCATCGTTTGCTTTTGATTGGTTGGCAAGTTCACGAGTCTTGTGTCAAAAAAATGACACGATAATTTGTATGCGCATGTTTCATGTTGTGATGGATCACGCAATACACAGAACACGTACACAAATTTCCAGATGGTGAACAGTTTCTGCCTAGATTTGACAAAAGTAAGTGGCTGTTGCCGTCGTTTGCTGTTTGCTTTTGATTGGTTGGCAAGTTCACGAGTCATGTGTCAAAAAAATGACATGACAATTTTTATGCGCATGGTTTATGTTGTGGTCGATCACGCAATACACAGAACACGTACACAAATTTCCAGATGATGAACAGTTTCGGCCTAGAATTGACAAAAGTAAGTGGCTGTTGCCGTCGTTTGCTGTTTGCTTTTGATTGGTTGGCAAGTTCACGAAAGTCATGTGTCAAAAAAATGACATGACAATTTTTATGCGCATGTTTTATGTTGTGGTCGATCACGCAATACACAGAACACGTACACACATTTCCAAATGGTGAACAGTTTCGGCCTGGTTTTGACAAAAGTCACTGGCTCTGACTCACGTTTATAAATCCAGACAAATGCACAGGTGGGAATTTTCTAACGGATCTAGAAAAAATGATTTTTTTCCCGATACATTCTTTCTTATCAGATTCAATGTTACATCTACAGGGTTAGTCACGCTATACGGCACGGAAGTTTGCGGCTAAACCGTTTGATTTTTAAAAAGTATTATTTTATGAATTGTCCGACGCCTGCCGAGCGCACATTTCAAAAATATTTTTGTAATGTACAGGGTGTCCCAAAGGCTCTAAAGGTATCAAAGTTGTGTTTTTTTTAAATGGAATGTCCTGTATATTATTGCATTTGGTAGTCAATAATATATAGGGTATTTCATTTAGAAAAACACAATTTTGATACTTTTAGGGCTTTTGGGAGACTCTGTACATTACAAAAATATTTTTAAAATGTGCACCCGATAGGCGTCTGTGGATTCATCAAATAATACTTTTGAAAAATCAAACGGTTTAGCCGCAAACGTCCGTGCCGTATAGCGTGAATAACCCTGTATAATCGATTTTTATTAGTTTAAAGTTTTGCCTCGTTTCACTAAATTATGAGTAACTTTTGGCAAAGAGCTGAAGGCGTCACACTTGGGTATCCAAGTCCACGTACTGAAAAATTCCTACGCCCATTAAGACACTAGGGATTGGAGAAATCAGAGTTAACTGACGAAAAAAGGGAACCGCGAATACTCAATTGCTGAAAAACTAGAGCTCCCTGGAGACCCCCAAAAATCACTTCCAAGACACGTGTTCCGTGGCAAAGAGCAAGTCCCCAGTTTCATGTATTATTCATGGCGCCGAAATCTAACGCAAACTTAATAACCATTTAATGACGATGATCTATCACTAGCCGGTTAACCGGGGGGCCAACTTTAGCCTCCGGTTAATCCCTAGATCAACATTGCTCCGAGCCGATATAATTTCATTAAAATCGGATCGAGGGGTCATTTTTAATTTCGGTCTGAGCAAAACAACCCTGTGATTGAAGCCGATCGGATTAGCGTGTCAATACGGTACCTCGGGGATAGCGAATTAATGGCGTTAAGTCGATGATTAAACTGAATGGATGTAGGCATCGAGGAACAGTAATTTGCTTCCGAAGACTCAAGAATCTTAGAATATCAATTATTAATCAAATTCATTCCTGGGTATTCAGTCATTTATTGTCTCTATTCATTAATCATACGTTTCGGTGTATTTTTCCACCATCATCAGTTTTTATGTGTAGCCTTGGCAAAAATGCATGCCAAAGCTTAAAGCAGCAACAACGCTACACATAAAAACTGATGATGGTGAAAAAATACACCGAAACGTATGATTAATGAATAGAGACAATAAATGACTGAATACCCAGGAATGAATTTGATTTGGAATTGAAACACAGTCAGGAAAGTATATACAATTATCAATTGTAAAGGAAATTGACACACTGGCATCCCTGTCCCCAGGGGACCAGAAGTGCCAATCAGAAGAAGTAGAAAACGTTATGAAGGAAATATTACTGCTGAGAATTAAGCCCAATATATAAATTGGCATAATTTATTAAAATTGGTAATCAAGTTGCAAAGTTGTTTTTATTATTTTAAACCAACTTATTTTGGCTGAGACTTGCAATAACACAAAGATGAATCAAATTTGTCCGAAAAACATGATAAGCGGCATTATGTTTTTCCGCAGACCATGCGAACGTTAATCTAACGAACGTGTTTTCTAATAATTTTAATATTTGCTAGTGAACAGCACAGCAGACTTTCGACCTCGAACAGCGAAAGCTCCGACGGTGTTAAGTAATACCGACCCGAAGAAGTACGCAGTTCTGTCGTTCAGAAACCAGCTTTGGTGGATCTCCTGACAAGAACAATTTTCGTCCCTTTCAAATAGCACAACTCCAATTCAAAACTCATTCCTGCGTTTCAGTCATTTATTGTCTCTATTTATCAATCAAAATACGTTTCGGTGTATTTTGCCGAGTGTATTTTGCCGAGCAAGAAAATGCATGCCAAGGCTTAAAGCAGCAACAACGCTACACATAAAAACTGATGATGGTGGAAAAATATACCGAAACGTATTTTGATTAATAAATAGAGACATTCAGCCCTGGGCTGTGATAAAATTCTTTAGGATATTGGATTACTGGATATTTCCTTAAAACAAGAAACGTAAGTGCTTTGAAGATCGGCCTGACAATGACGAATGCTGATGGACATTCGTCCCGAATGAATCTTATTTAAAACGCATTAGAAATTAGGTATACAAATGTATCAAATATTAAAAAATATCAAATTTATTCCTGGGTTTCAGTCATTTATTGTCTCTATTTATCAATCAAAATACGTTTCGGTGTATTTTTCCACCATCATCAGTTTTTATGTGTAGCGTTGTTGC